GCCTGACCACCCGATCCCGTTAGTAGCCTCTAACCACAGGCAGGGTTACTGAAGACCAATTCTTACCCGAATCTTCGATGGATCTTCGGGTCTGGGGTATGTTGTAACTGTCTTTGAATTCGGTGCGTTTTCAACGTAACGTTCATTATATACTCTCCCAAAAAAGAAACGCATATAGGAATTTCAACTGTATTTTTATGTTTATTTTGAAACATCTTGCAGGCTTTAAGAGTCAATGAAATATAAAATATATGAAATTGCACACTGGGAATGTAGACTTATCCGTCTTCGGCACCAACTCGAGGAAAGTCAGTTTGACTGTCACATGGAGACGTGTGGTGGCGCTGAAGTCAATACCTCGTGTGACCACCGTGGGCATCCAGAACTGCACGGCATCGCCTCGGCATCGAACGAATAAGTCTCAGAATCTCGTGTTGCCCAATCGCAGCCCACTCTGCCTGTAGTGCCTGTGCGAGTTGCTGAAGTGTCTGGGGCTGATGGTTACGGGGTCGCACCCGTCTGTCCAGGGCATCCCACAGATGTTGGATTGGGTTTAAGTCCGGTGATCTTGAGGGCCAGGGGAGCACATTGATGTTGTGGTTCTGGAGGAAGTCTCTAGTGTGACGTGCTGTGTGGGGCCTGGCATTGTCCTGTTGAAACAACTCCCTCTGGCGATCAGTGATCGTAGGATGGGCGTAGGATTTCGTCACAGTACCGTTGAGCTGTCAGGTTGCCCTGGATCATCACCAATCACTTCTCCTACGGCAGGTAATTTTCTCCCCAAATCATAACACTTCCTCGGCCGAATCTGTCCACCTGGGGAACGCAAGCGTCGGCGAAACGTTCATGTCGACGTCTGTACACCCGCATTCCTCCATCGCGTCGTTCCAATAGAAATCGTGATTCATCACTGAACCAGATTCTACGCCAATTCGGTCAGTTCCAGGCCTGAACGTTGGTGCACCATTGAACTCGATGTCGACGATGTTGTTGTCGAAGCACAGGGCCAAAATAAGGTCTTCTGGCACGTAAACCAGACTCTCTCAACCTGTTCCTGACGGTCTGTGCAGAAAGCCTCCACAATCCGGGTATTTGTCGAGCGGTACTGGTCGCCGTAGCTGTTCGATGACGCAGGTGATGTAGCGATCCTGCGCCGCAGTGGTCGCTCGGGGTCGCCCACTACGAGGGGCATCTGCATCTCCCAGAGCCGTGAAATGGTGCTTTGGTGAACATTCATGCGTCGGGCAACTGCACGTTGAGACTGGCCAGCTTCAAGCAAACCAATGGCGATATGACGGTTGGCTTCACTTAGACGTGGCATTTTGCGTTCGTCAACAATATTCCAAATACAGTGAATAATCGACAGATAGCGATCAACCTTTTATACCCATCACTGAGACTATCTGATTCCCAACTTTCACGTACATTGCATGTGAATTGTGTATTCTGTGACACTACACGCCGAAATTAAAAATCATGCTGTTAAATACGGGTATTCTACGGATGGTGCGTTTTGTTGTGATGTTTCAAAACATAAACATAGGACTCATAAACAGAGCAAAACCTTTTGTAAAATGAATCATGTTTTAATTCATTTGCTACATGAAATTGCTATTTTCATGATGCGTTTCTTTTGGGAGAGTATATATTCATTATATGTGTTATGCATTGTCTTCAGCAAAAGCTTTGATAGAAATCATTCTTCATCGGGCTTCCAATTGTCAGCTTTCCTTTGAAATATTAATGGGTGAGTGAGTGAATGAGTTTTACGCCGCACCTAGCAATATTCCAGCTATATGGTGGCGGTCTGTAAATAATCGAGTCTGGACCAGACAGTCCAGTGATCAAGAGCATGAGCATCGATCTGCGCAATTGGGAACCGATGACATGTGTCAACCAAGTCATCGAGCCTGACCACCCGATCCCGTTAGTCGCCTCTTACGACAAGCAGAGTCACCTTTTGTGGGAAGCATGGGTTGCTGAAGACCTATTCTACCCCGGATCTTCTCGCGTCGCAAATTTAATGAAAGCAGGTTAGATATTTACAATAGTTGTCATTTCATTGAAGTATGAACACACCCGGGCGTGTATTAGTAAATTCAGTTCCAACTAATGTCATCAGAGAGTGAGTGATTGAGTATGGTTTTACGCCGCTTTTAGCAATATTGAAGCAATATCACGGCGATGAACACCAGAAATGGGCACCACACACTATACCCATGTTGGGAATCGAACCACTGTCTTCGACGTGACGAGCAAACACTATAACGACTAGGCTAACCCCACCGCCCCTAAGTGACGCGTTGCATTTATACAGTGTCGTGTTCGATTAGGTGATGCCACCACTGTAAGCGGTAGTTTAAGAAAACATGAACATTTTCAACGTATTTCATTTCTACCCGTCAACTTTAAGACTAAAGGGATTATAAATGGGAACGATTTAGTTTTAAGATTATGGACTTACCATCGTTCAGCAGAGGTCTGCAGTGTTTTGAATTATTTATTTACGCTACACACATTTATACGTCCCTGGTCGTCACAACATCTTACGTGGGTTAGCTTTTACAATAAATCATTTAGTTTAGCATTCCCTTCTCATCTGAGGATTACCTGACCACTTTCTCTTCACCACTTTTTTAGTCACCCAAAAGTTTGATATAAAGTTTATGTTTCTCGTGAAATAGTGTTAAGTTTTTCCTCGGTAAACATCAGATTAACTAAAAAATATACATGTATTTACTGAGGACATAAACGTGACATAAAATTGAAGTGAACTGATTGAATGTATTGTATGAGAGACAGGTTCTATAATTTTGTTCTGTGTAAATAAAACCACCCACTTTCGAGTGTTTTCTATGTCGTTAACATTCATTATTGGTAGATTTTAAAACTCTGCAGTCATATATTTTTCATTAAAACCCGTTCAACTCCGCATAGCCATATTTTACCGTTTAACATTTGTGAGTTGTTTTAATATGTATGCCCTGTTACTAAATATTTTATTTCTGAAATGAATGTAACTAGTTGAGATATCAACAATATAAATCTGCCTGTCTGACAGCTTTAAAGCTTTTGCTATTATTGAAAATGTTTATTGAAGTGTCTCGCTGTCTGGTATTACGACCCGTGAAGATCCGGGGTAGAATAGGTCTTCAGCAACCCATGTGATTGCCATAAAAGGCGACTATGCTTGTTGTAAGAGGCGACTAACGGGATCGGGTGGTCAGTTTCGCTGACTTGGTTGACACATGTCATCGGTTCCAAATTGTGCAGATCGATGCTCATGCTGTTGATCACTGGATTGTCTGGTCCAGACTCGATTATTTACAGACCGCAGCCATATAGCTGGGATATTGCTGAGTGCGGCGTAAAACTAAACTCACTCACTCACGTCTGGTATTACAATTATTGGTATGGTGTCTGATATAACGGCAACCACTCAAGTGTATGATATACAGGTACGTAGCAGTGTACAAAACAATGTGCCACCATGCTCCCAGGGTAAAGACCATCTCTCCCAGAGCCGTGAAATGGTGCTTTGGTGAACATTCATGCGTCGGGCAACTGCACGTTGAGACTGGCCAGCTTCAAGCAAACCAATGGCGATATGACGGTTGGCTTCACTTAGACGTGGCATTTTGCTTTCAGTAACAATATTCCAAATACAGTGAATAATCGACAGACAGCGATCAACCTTTTATACCCATCATTGAGACTATCTGATCCCCAACGTTCACGTACATTGCATGTGAATTGTGTATTCTGTGACACTACACGCCGAAATTAAAAATCATGCTGTTAAATACGGGTATTCTACGGATGGTGCGTTTTGTTGTGATGTTTCAAAACATAAACACCATAGGACTCATAAACAGAGCAAAACCTTTTGTAAAATGAATCACGTTTTAATTCATTGCTACATGAAATTGCTATTTTCATAATGCGTTTCATTTTGGGAGAGTACATATATACATGTACATATATACATCGGCAATACGTTTTGCTTGTTTGATCCAGTTAACCGGACGCCTGGCTATCCGGACGATTTCTGAGTGTAACCAAAGAGTACGGATAAACGGGGTTCGACTGTACATCGAACAAACATGAAAACACTTAATGTCGTACGATCGGATTAATGATGTAGAATGGGACTTAGTCATACAGTATATAGTTTTGTTATTACGGATGAAGCATTTGCAGACCTCAGTCTGCTTTTGTCCAAATAAAAAACCCAAACCTGTCTCTTGAAACGATTACGATTAAATGTGAATTAGCACATGAGTATGTCGTATCGCATTATCAAGTTGCCGTACTTGAACACGCTTTCTTTTGGCTTACCTTGTTGTAGCATTCAACACATACTAGTGACGTTTGACCCTAATTCTTAGAACTAAGGACTGTTATGCGAATCAGCTACCATATGTTTACCGTACACGTAGCAGGGTTAGCGTATCATAGTGAAGGTAAATAAAAACCCGGATATTGAAGTCAATGAACGTTTTCTAATCCTTTACAATCTGATGTCTTTTGATTGTCAATAGGTTTGTCCTCGGTATAAATATTCCGGTTCTGTTTATGACATGACAAATAAATACATAACGATACATTAATGGCATATTTCACACATGAATTGAGAAGTCAACGAACTTGTTAAATGAGGTGATCGGACAAGACACACAACCCAGTGATCAACAGCATAAGCATCGATCTACGCAATTGGGATACGATGGGACACCATATGAACAACCATCCACTGCCATTGTATTAACCCCAGGAAGCAGGAATATTGTTGTGTTAAATAATCCCAAACCCATAAAACACCTTTATGGTACGTAGTCGGTTCACGTAATGGTCTATGTTCTGAAATACGTCTTGGATAAATTGGCGAGAAAACCTTTCATTTATCATTTTATATCATTTCCCATTTTGACTGTGTTTGAAGCAGGCTGCATTACTATGTACAATTGTCCTGATATTTTAAGTCAAATATCAAATTACAGGTCTTATTTTCGGGGATAACTGCGTCGAAGATTCAGTCTGTTTGGACAGTCTGTATTTGGCTGTTATCAATCTACAGTCAGGAGACTTCAGTGGCTATTGTCGGTAAGTCACAGACATAGTAAGTCAGGTCTACTACTGTCTGTAGCCAGCAGACTGTGGTGGTCACAGTCGGTAAGTCACAGATCAAGAACCGGCTGCCAGGAGTCAACAGACTGCAGCAGTGTTAAACTAGTAAGTTACAGACATAGACCCTGCTATCTGTAGTCAGCAGACTATGGAGGTCACAGTCGGTAAGTCACGGACCTAGACCCAACTGTCTATAGTTAACAGACGTCTATGGTGTAACAGACTATGGTGGTGTAAATCGGTAAGTCACAGACCTAGACCTCAACTGTCTATAGTTGTTAACAGACTATGGTGGTGTAAATCGGTAAGTCAGACAGACCTAGAGTCAACTGTCTATAGTTAACAGACGATGGTGGTGTAAATCGGTAAGTCACAGACCTAGACCTAACTGTCTATAGTTGTTAACAGACTATGGTGGTGTAAATCGGTAAGTCACAGACCTAGAGCCAACTGTCTATAGTTAACAGACTATGGTGGTGTAAATCGATAAGTCACAGACTTAGACCCAACTGTCTATAGTAAACAGACGGTGGTGTAAATCGGTAAGTCACAGACCTAGACCTAACTGTCTATAGTTGTTAACAGACTATGGTGGTGTAAATCGGTAAGTCACAGACCTAGAGCCAACTGTCTATAGTTGGTAACAGACTATGGTGGTGTAAATCGATAAGTCACAGACTTAGCGTCAACTGTCTATAGTTAACAGACGATGGTGTAAATCGGTAAGTCACAGACCTAGAGCCAACTGTCTATAGTTGGTAACAGACTATGGTGGTGTAAATCGGTAAGTCACAGACTTAGAGCCAACTGTCTACAGTTAACAGACTGTGGTGGTGTAAATCGGTAAGTCACAGACCTAGACCCAACAATCCTGTCAGATGTCCGAATGTGAAAATGTTGTTTGTGACGTAGCCCAAACTGTCTACATGTATAAGATCTCAGTGAACACTGTCGGTAGGTCAGCTGTCTACAGTCAGAAGACTACAGCGGATACTATACACTGTATATATATTAAGTCGATGTAGTACTGGATATATGAGTCAAGCCAACTTTTCATTTGTTGCCATGCGAAATTAACATATACAAAATGATCTATAGGTAAAATTGACATTCATGATATGTAAAATATGAATATGTTAGCACATGAACTTAGCCGTACTGTCTCACGTTAAAGATATTTTACGCTACTTTCCTTTCAGCAACTCAGAGTCGTATGTAGCGTGTTCGGAAACATCCCTTGTTGGTTGTAACAGAAAAACCTCGAACTTAGTCAAGCACACCCGAAACACACAAGCCGTTTACTGCGCAAGTGGTACGTATTTGTTTGTTTCCAACCCATGACTATCACGCGAACGTATAAAACTATATGTAACATGTGGTCAACATCTGAAACAGTATACCGTTTTGGACATGGCCGCGGTACAACTTTCTGAGGGAGGAAAACCCCATGGCGCACAGCTCTTGGACATTTACCTCTTCGGTGAAACCTTCAAACGCCGAAATTTACAGAACTTCAAACAACAGACATCAATATGAGTTTTACATCATAAGCGACTATTACAGTTAAAGGTGTTAAGTACGTTTCGGTGTGCGAGTTAACGCACAAAACGCACACGCAAAATCATTAAAGCACACACACCGACAGGTTGTTAACCATTTAACTCTAATACCAGTTGTTCGTCTCTCGATCTGCAGATACAGCGGTATCTTATTAACATCTTTGAGTTATGAAATATCCTTGTTATTATGCCTAGTTTTGAAGAATGTACTTATATTGTGTCTAGTTTTGAAGAACGGATGGGTCTGGTGTAAGCAATGAAAGTTTCCTTGTACTTATGTCTAGTTTTGAGGAATAAATGAATCTGGTGTAAGCAATCAAAGTTTCCTTGCACTTATGTCTAGTTTTGAAGAATGTACTTATGTCTAGTTTTGAAGAATGGGCGGGTCTGGTGTTAGCAAAAGAACTTTCCTTGATCTTATGTCTAGTTTTGAAGAATGGGCGGGTCTGGTGTTAGCAAAAGAACTTTCCTTGATCTTATGTCTAGTTTTGAAGAATGTACTTATGTCTAGTTTTGAAGAATGTACTTATGTCAAGTTTTGTTTATGTCAAGAATGGATGTGTCTGGTGTTAACGATATTCCAGTACGATCACAGCTGGGGACACCAGCAATGGGTTCCACGCATGTGGAAAATCGAGTTTAGAGGTGACACTACTTCGCTTCAACTCCAATGTTACCTCCCCCTATTGGTAATTTATGCCACAATAAAGCAAAGATTAAATTCCATGTACTTTACAGGTACTGTGGAAGTAACAAAGCATGTAGTGTCTGCTGTGTGTCTGAATGTGTCGTTATGTCTTCCAGGAAGCAACCCTGGCTACCTGGAGTGCCAGACACGCCGCAGTGTGTGCGAGGCAATATACGACCAGTTCCAGTCCCTGTCACTGTGCAGGTACTGTGCCATAGTGAAAGAGCGACTTAATGAGTCGCAACGATGTTTCATTATATTAGGCGTCAGTGTAATGTGTAAGGACATTCTAGATTCAAGCAGTACTCGTTTATTCCTTTTCCTGAATCGTAGACAACTACAGGAGCATGACCAGATGTCACAAGACGCAGGACACTTGTATCCTAATACATTCAGCAGCAATTCAAGTAACCCAAACATCATTTCACAGGCACTGCCCCGACACTGTATTAAGTTACCTACCCTGAAATTAATGGAAAACGAGCCATTGTGCATGAACATATTGATTTACGTCATTTCAACATGTTGTTATTGAACCAATGGGGGGCTTATTGTGAGATATCAGTCAGTTTGAAATATTATATCTGACATATCTGCTTTGTGTATCGACAATTAATGCATGAAATGTTTTGGTCACAGTGATCTGGATCGATATGTTGTGTGTGTTCTACGTGACCTGTCATCATGTCACCAATCAACCTTCAACACCACGTCTATGACTCAAGCATTGAAGGAGAGTGCTACTTTGTCCTGTGGTAAGAGATATGCAAACTGCCATTGATTAAAGATGTGATGGGTAAATTTCTATTTTTCCCAGAGAGCCATGTGGGACATTTTTGAAGACAAACACGTGAAAGGAACATTTTTTCAGAATGTTAAGGTTGGGTTACATTTGGGCCCGGGTTATATTTCAGTTACGGTGAGGTTTAGGGTGACTGAGTCTAGTTTTACGCCGCTGATATTCAGCTATATCACCGCGGGGTAGGGATTAAGGGTAATGCTAAGTTAGCAGACTGACACTTGTCCGAATTACAAGATACATGTATATGATTACATATCTCGGTTTAAGTATCAATGCATAACGACATATAAAACATCTTTGACGTAATGTGCTATTCTGCTTAATAGATGTGTCCTTTACATATTTTAGTCGAATACTGATAATAATTAATATTTTCTTATATTTTCACTTAACTTTATGTCAAACAATCAGCAAACGTTCTTAACAGTTTAAGGAAAGATAAAGAACTGGTTCGACCAAGTGTTGAAGTGATAAAACGGAATCTTCATCTTGTTTACACACTTACTCAGAATCCGTTAAACGTATAAAGCCGGGAAGCGTAATGGGTAGTCTAGTAATGGAGTGAGTGAGCGAGTTTAGTTTTACACCGCTTTTAGCAATATTCCAGCAATATAATTGCGGAGGCCACCACAAATCGGGCTTCACACATAAGTCCTATGTGGGGAATCGAACTCGGGTCTTCGGCGTGACGAGCGAACGCTTTAACCACTGCACTAGGCTACCCAACCACCTGAACACCATGTTGATGTAGTGATATCTTAAAGGTGACGTGCACATTGCTCCTCCCTAGATGTGATTATTTCCCCTATAGGTGCTGGGAACGCATCGTGCGCTGTGCAGTACATCATGTGCCAGACTACGTCACTCCTGGTCACCCAGAGTCTGGAGGTCAACAATTTGGATGGCTTCTGCAGGTGTGTCTGAACGTTAGGCACCAAACAGGAACTTACTTTATTACGAAAATTATGTCAGTTCCGGATGGAACCGGTAAGCAGGACAGGTATATCTTTTTTGCAAATACCCGGTGCCATCCCTGATATTAAGTGTTCTATTAAAATTTCGTCTCTATTTTCTATGATGCTCAATGCTTTCTCAAAACACGGAACAGTGCATTAGGAAATTCATGTACATGAATGTTCATTCGTGCCAACACAGTAACTTCTGATATGGAAATTCAGAGTAACTTTAAATTAAATCGTAAATTCCAAAAACACTTGTGTACAAGTGAAGAGATTCGGCAGCACATTATTACATACACAAATTTTAGAATTCCTTTTGAATCATCCGAACGAAAGTGACGCTCACACGAGGTGAGGTTAAGTGTAAGTAGTATCATACAACATAACAGAAGAAACCCGATCATATTTCGAATGACGCGTCCTTTTGAAGGCATCCGTCTGTTACTTTCAACAATAGTGTAAACGAGCTATGTGTCAACTTGGGCGTGAATGAATGGGCCTGAATTGACGTTTTTGTTAATGTCCTACACATGTCATTCAACCAGTACGTTCTCGGTGAGGATTTGCTATGTAGCTTTGATTTCTAACTGTTACATATGCCTGAAAGAGGTATGTGTTACGTGAAGGCACTTCTTCATTAAGTTCATGACTAAAGTTCGTTCTGCAAAAAAGAAATCTGCACCTTTCTATTTAGGTTGATACTTTTGCAGCCAACACCTCATGGTATATTCTTTTTAAAACAGCTACATTTAAGTTCACTTTGCTGAAGCTATTACCTATGCAGCTTGTATGGTCCTATTGTGAGCCATGCTTAAAACTTTAGTGTGTGTGTGAGAGAGTGATTGTGTTTAGTTTTACGCTGCTTTTAGCAATATTCCAGCAATATCCCTGCGGGGGACACCAAAAATGGGCTTCACACATTGTACCCATATGGGAAATCAAACCTGGGCCTTCGGTGTGACGAGCGAACGCCTTAACCACTAGGCTACCCCAACTCCCCTGCTTAGTGTAACCTTAAGGAAAGATATAGTACTACTCAAGTCTAACATACATAATGTCTTCCACGCACATCTCCACAGCCATGTTGATACCTTCCTGGCGTGTAGGAGGAGTCTGCATGATGGCTGTGACAACATCTATACCACACCAACAGCATTGTTACTGTCGGAGGAGATGGTAACGAAGGATAAAGCTTTGTACTGTAGACCAAATGGTAAGATGTTTCATTCTTTGGCCATTTTACGGATGTGTTTACCACAGTGGTAATAATTTACAAATCCTAAACACATATTCCGATGAATTTTTTTTCGTCATATTAGGATGAATTAATGAAGAGTTTAAGTCTTCTTTATAACAGTTCTAAAACAGAAACTGAAATGGTATACATTTGATGACGTCTTTGACATTCCGATGTTACCGTGGATAATAGGAAATCAAAATGCTTCTAACAAATTTGGAGAAATTGTCAAACCTTCGTTTTGAAAATTATTTCTATACATTTTATGTCATTAGGATCAAGTCCAAGCTATTTTTCATGTTTACAAAAACAGAAGTCTTGCGAATCACGACTTTATATAACGGGGGACATAGACAACACGGTGGTCCTGTATTACTGCAGGTGAGTATACATATGTCCTGTCTCTATACAAGCTTTCATGACGTTAAAACAGCATGATTTTAGTAGCGTAACAATATATAGCTACCACACCCAGTAGAGGTCGACTGTTATTATTTTTAAATGATCTTGTTGGAAAAGCGATCGTGTTGACCTCCTGTCAGTTTAAGTCATAGCATGCATGGCTAGCTTCTTGCGTATTATGTGCAGGAGATCTTAACTTCAATGCAAAGCTAGGTTACCTGGAGAGGTGATGTTGGGCGTTCGGTTCTATGATCAATTTAGCCCTGGGACACTGCCGTTAACCTACTTCTACAATGAAAACAATCTCTTGTCACTCATTGCACAATGACAAAAATAAAATAGGAATATGCTGGCGCTGAGTCAAATGTTTGGAGAAGGTTGTTGATAATAATTTAAACAAATACTGTTTTTAGTCTTCAAATAAAGTATGTCGCTGTATAAATCATTGTGACGTTACATCAACATAGCTTACTCAGTTATATTGGCATTTAGAGTAGGGCATAGCAGAACTTATTAAACGCAACCACGAAGTTGTCACGCTTGAAAAGACGAAGTAAGACTTCAAATGTACTTTAAATCGGGACCAATATATGTCAGAGATAGATGCTGAAATTTAGTTTCTGCAGTCCCTAAAACATTGTCTATGGTTATTTCTACAGCCTTTGTGGACAATCATTTCACGCTTTGGATTTTATAATTCTATACGGTGAATTCTGACTGATGAAAAGTACTATTCTTGGGTATATAGCTTGCGCGATGAATTGGCATTAGAGCTGCATATTGTGATTTGAAACCATTGTTGACCAATTAGAATTTTAGCATCCCCATTTGTCTTGTTTGAAAATATTTCAGCAGCTCACAATAGCATTAAGTGAATATAAACGTTATCAACTTACAATGTCAATACTTGAATATGCAAGGTATCAGCTCACAACATCATTAACAGAATATTAACATCATCAATTTACAATATCAGCACGTGGATATATCAAGGTACAATAGCATTAACTAAATATAAACGTCATCAACGGACAATATCAATACTGGAATATATACTCAGCAGCAAAACAACGTCAGTACGAATTCAAAATTAGATAGGCACTGTAATCAAATCATTACAGAAATTGACATAATAAGCGGATCAAAACCATTTTTTGTGTACAGTATCTTGACACATCAATGGATAACTCAGCACAATTTCAAGACATTACATGAACGTTTGCAGTCCATTCAGACCCTTGACTTCAGTATCTAGTGTGACCACCACGAGCGGCAATAACTGCAGCACAGCGTCTATGCTAGAGTGCACCAATCGATTGATGAAGGCCATTGGCACCTGGAACCACACTCTGAGAAAGGCCTGGCGCAATAAATCGCCTGTGTTCGGCATTGGTATGACATTATTCAGTCTTCTCTGAATTTCATCCCAAAGATATTCAATTGGGTTTAAATCAGGACTAAGGGCTGGCCACTGCATAATGTTGACACCGTTCTGCTGTAGAACGTCCTGTGTAGCTCTGGCAGTATGGGCCCGGGCGTTATCATGCTGGAAAATGTTGTTCCGGTGACGTGCGAAATGTGGTATGACGTGGGGTCTGGAGAGCTTGGTCGATGTAGTGCACCGCTGTGATGCCGGCTCCTCTCCCTGGACCAAGGTTCTGGAACACCACAGGACCCACTCTCTGGTTCAGGCCTATTCCACCCCATACCATGATGCTTGCACCTCCTCATGAGTCTCTTTCCATAACACATTGGTCTGAGTAACGCTGGCCACGTCGTCGCCATATTCTTGTTCTGCCATCTGCAGTTGATACGCAGTACCGACTCTCATCTGTGAACAGAACAGTTCTCCATTGCCTGTATTGCCAGTTTTGGTGTTGTAGGGCAACTGTAGACGTTCACGCCGATGACGAGGGGTGAGGATAGGTTCACGGTGGTTCCCGCTGTTAAGACGTCGGCGTACTGTATCAGTACTGATTGGTCTTCCGTGTGTTCCCACTGTCTGGCGTGCTGTTTCGGATGCCTGCATGAAGGGATTCTGTACATGCTGTCGCACAACATGGCGGTCTTGTCGTCTTGTGGTCACCCTTGGTCTGCCAGTACAGGGGCGATCATTTGTGGTGTTGGTGGTCTTCCTAGCGCCTGGTTCCTCTGAACTGTCGTGAGTCGCGGCATCATGCTGACGTTGTAATGTGAATGCTTCAACTAGGTTTGGGGGTGCATTTAAAACAGCTGGTCCTTGTGAACAGCACGTGCAGCATGAGTTGCATGAAAAACATAGAGAACACCGTACCATCTCCGAGATCAGGTTGCGTTTTTGAGACCATTTCCTGCGTTCCACTCTGAGTTTGGGAAGGAATGTCTTTTCTCAGGTAAAGTTTGAGATGTTGTCAAAAATATACAACCAGAACGTTAAATGAGTTTACACTTATCCGTTTCTGCGAAGGAAAATTCCTAACTGACGTTTCTTTTGCTGCTAAGTATATAAAGGTATCAGCTCACAACAGGATTAACTGAATATAAACACTATCAGCTTACTACTTCCTCAATTGAATATAAAGAGTATAAGTAATTATAGGACTGTTTGTTGTTAATTTCTGTCAAACCGGAATACATGTCTGCAACACCTTACCCTGTAGATGTCAGGCTGCACTTTATTTAGAGCGGTGATGGCGTATTTAAGCATACAAAGCACTTGTCGTCACATCTAATGTCTGGATTCGAAGTTTGAGTTTGTCGACAGCATGGAGGATTATTAGTGTTGGATTTTATTCAGGTCACTAGTCGAATACAGGACGTGTCTGTCACGTGACCTGGCACCCTGTCAGCAGGATGCCATCAATCTACCGGCACTATTGGCCTCGACCACGACCAACTTCACACGGACTTGTTCTGGCATCAATAGTGAGGCGCATTTTCATTTATCTGATTATAACAAGCATGAGATGTCATGAGTTTTGTGTTTGTTGTGGGTCTGTGTTTGTTGGTGAGGTAGTGAGGTGTGTTTAGGGACAAGTATTATGTGTAGTAGTTAGGTTTTTGTTTAGTGGTGAAGTGGGAAGGTTTGTGTGTGGTAGTGAGGTGAAGAAGTTTGTCTTTGGTTGTGACGCATATATTTGGATGATGAGATTACTTCTTTGTGGTGAGATTTTTGTTTGGGGGTGAGACTGAGAGGGTTTTGCTTGGTTGACAAATGTGTGTTTTGCTGTGAGGCATTTGGAATGTTCAGGTGTGTTATTTGGTTGTGACGTGGTGAGGTTTGTATCAAACTGCTCCGCAGTGTCTCACGGGCATACTAGAACATGTGATCATGAGTTTGTATGCCTCAATTATGTTTCTGTATCAGTATCAACCCCAGATCATGGGTTTCGCGATGTGAAACACATCTGAAAACTGCATCTCTTAGGAGATAGAGGGGCGCTATATTGCAAGTTTTCGTTGTTGCTAAAACATTGTTCAAGAAGTGTCAGGTCCAGCGTTGTTATTCAAGAATGTCGGGCGACGACAAGAGGATGGTTATCAAAATGTGGCACGACTGCTGCATCCATAACTTCCTGTCGATAACGTTGACCATTTAGTGTCTCGGATCCTGTAATGCAGGCAGTCGAAAGGCATCCGCACACCGTAAGTGAGCCACCACCAAAGGGTTCAGCTGCATGAGTCACCTCCTGATGAGTGACAAATAAGCGACTAAGACCGCCGGTAACGCGTAGAAGGTAGCGACTTTCATCAGACCAATGAACATTAGTTCAAGTGTTGTTCTCAAGTTGCGGTTTTCTTGGAGCGTTCTGTCTGTGCCTAGCTGTGAAGAACAGATGTCTGTTCGGACGACGAGTCCTCAAGCCAGCAGCCCGCTTCCTGAATCAGATGGTACTGTTGGAAAGTCTCTCCGACTCTCAATCCTCGGCGCAGTTCTGCAGAAGTCATTGTATTGCGTCTTGTCAGACCAATTAGGACTCTGTCATCACAGTTATTGGTCTTCCATGCTCTTCCGTGCCTTGGGCGATCCTTTATTACATCGGCATTGTGTAGAAAACTGTGCTGCACATATTGCAAGTATAAAATTTATGCCTCAATGTGCACGGCGCACATGAACCCATAGGAAAGAAAGTTTTTTATGGATGTCAACTTCTTTATCATGAGTAACACAACGTTTCGGAGTACATTTTACCCCTCCATCAGAACCAATAGCTTTTGAGATATTGTGTTATATACAATATATATAACGCGTGCTTTACATGCATTTCAGTATGCTTGGGTAGCATTGCCTGTTCAGACCAAAAGTTTGAATATTGTCCAATGATTCAGATGGTGTTTAATCAATGCCCATCTGTATAGACTGAGATACTAAGCGGTAGTGCTTGTCGTAAAGGGTATCTATCTGGGTTAGTGGTCAGGCTCGGTAGCCAGGGTCATAGCTTGCCCATCGGCGTGGGACGTACATATCAATGTGAAGGTGATCGCGACATATTGAGCTTGTTTGCAGATATTGGTATCGTTTGAATGCGGGAATGTGTCCTTCGCACATGTCCCATACATAACACGCTGACGGAGGTATTACCTTTCAACCATGCGCGACAGCCGACGTGTGAAAATCGCAATTCAATATACTGAAAAAAACATGAAATAGACGGAACACTAACCAGTGAGATGTGATACAAGCGAATGAATATTCATTATCATTAACGTACATATTAAAATAGGGTACATGATTGCCTGCACAATTAAAGTATTGACGCTTGTCGATGACGAATGTTGTATGTGTTATAGCCTTCAGCAATCCGATTGCTTAATGGTGCATGTCTTTGTCGTCTACTGCTAGCATGTTGATGACATCCTGTAGATACGTATGTGTCATCTATCATCATCATCATCATCGTCATCTACTTTCTTGTGAATTTTACATATCATCATTACAAATAACACGACATTTTATGGGAATCATTTGTGATTTACGCCTTATCCCAAAAGAGCGTTAGTTACTAGATTCCCAATAAGAGACATACAACTCTATAACTATATTCATCTAGTTTTATCTATGTTTCAGTTTATGCTGGAGTCCGGGAAATGTGCTGTAAGTAATACAATTACATAAACGTAACTTATTATGTCTGTGTAATGAATCCATATATTAACCTGAAGTCAGAAAATCAGGATAAACGATGCATTATTGTACACATATCTCACCACTAAAAGACAATCCATATGCTACGTATAAAGGAATAAAATAATATATCAAGATGTAAATCCACTTTAAGTGCTGATGTAAATAAGATATTTTATTTACTCTTTATTGCTCACCCAAGAAGCAATCAACCGTCAAGATAACACCTTTATTACACTATGTACAATAACATCACGTGCGAAACAGGACTATATTGGTCAATGGCCTTGTTAGTACCACTGCGCAACCGTTAGATATTTGTTGAAATAAATCCGTAATTTAAACGTCATCTAATGGGGACCCTTTGAGAAACATATAGATATATACGTTATAAACTTCCCTTTTTGCAGGTTCACCGATTATGCTGCTGTTGACGTTGGCTGTTGTATTGGTATACGTCGCTTCCTGACGTAACCAGGCATTGAAGCGGAATTCCATATAGAACTGCTTATGTATAGCATTGTCATTACCCCCTGTATCAGGTGTGCTGCCGACTACATTGGGTTGAACTTCCTTTGGCATAGTTCAGACAGCTGCCTTCGAAACACCTAGAGCTCGATATGTCAAGTCAGTTTTCCGTTGTACAGAGTCAGGGTTGAATGTTCCAGTGTGTGAAGCAGACCATTTTAAGTCAAAATTTAAAGGGGTAAGGATATCTGTTTAAGACCAGCAACACATACTTTGTATTTGATCTGAAAAAGAAAAGAACTTTCTTTTTTCCAGCTCATATTATGCCTGTTCAAAACTTTTGCAGTTTCTAATATCAAAGGAAGATATGATATATTCACTATATGTGTTCGTTCCCATGTTTACATTCAGTTATATATATTCATAGTGAAGAAAATTGACAAATAGGTAAATACATTAGTAGTGATTGTATCTGTGAGTACTGGGAATAAAGGGAGCCATTTGTGGTTGAAATTCTCCATATCATTGTTTTTCATTGCAGAAAATTTAAATAAATATGTCTTTCAAAGATTCTAGGATATTATCATATTTTGGATTATGTTTTTTATACAACATGAAGTGTTGTACTTCATCATTGTTTGTCAGTGCAGCTAACGTTTAATAAATATATCTTTCAAAAGTTTTAGAAAATTATTTTTGGGAGTATATTTTTATAGCATAAACATGGATGTATCTTTGTCAGCTGTTATTGTGTGATTTAATAATCTATGCATGCTTGCTCAAGATCAGGCATTTTGATAATTGATTTTGAAAGGTAAACATTTATTATGCCAGATTTCAAGATTATTCCCAAATATTTGTGTTTCCATCAATCCCAGTACAAGTGACAAAGTCTCTTTGTCTTTGCAGAAGCAACACAAAATATTATCAACAAATTTCATCTTAAATATTTTACTTTTGCAGCAAACAATACACAAAGTTGTACTTATTCCAAAGATACACTTACAAGCATTCCTCACGAGTGACCCGTGAAGGTCCGGCTTAGAACGTACCTTCAGTAACCCATGCTTGTCGTAAGAGGCGACTAATGGGATCGCGTGGTCAGACTCGCTGACTTGGTTGACACATGTCATCGGTTCCCAATTGCGCATATCGATGCTCATGATGTTGATCACTGGATTGTCTGGTCCAGACTCGATTATTTACAGACCGCCGCCATATAGCTGGAATATTGCTGAGTGCGGCGTAAAACTAAACTCACTCACTCACGAGTCAACTTAATCCTACAGTAAATATTGCACCGCTGTGGAACATGGCATGATAACGAGGTTCAGAGGAACTACCCGTTTTTATTTGTATGTTAATTGTAGATTGGGGCAGTAGCAAACTTGTGTTAGATGTAATACAATCTGTGTACATGTACATAGATGGGGTCAGTTGTATAGTAGCACAGACTATCAGCATCGCTTTCTTGTGGGTAATCACCTATAAGACGGATCTCACGCTGTTTAATTTCATCGGCTTTGCTTAAGGCCTCAATACTCTAGCATGGTGTATTGATTAGTGTTAATAAATTCTTCAATACCAATTTGGTGTATGTTTATTAATGCGCCTTACTCCAATCGGTCTGTCTATGTATATTTTCTCCAGGTCATGAGAAACTACGCCATTAAACCCCAGTTTGACACTGTCACGACAATAACTTGACTTGGCTTTACTCCAGCGTTGGTGAAGTAATCATTTGTAGCGCACTGACATGTTAGATTTGGGATTTACACTTTTTCAGTAAGTACAGATCTAGTACATTTGGGGGCTGAATTCCATTCGGGATTTGAACCCAGACTCTCAGAATGAGACACCTAATGAAACATTATGTAATATTTGTATACTACATATTTCACATGATACATTCGAGCACTTTCTAACATTCACTGTGTATCCAGCGTGGTGACACTATCCAGCCCGAGTAGTATACTATATGGCAAAAGTTGACTATTTGTCAAACGAATTTTCAGATATTGAATAATAAAACCTCTTAAAACTGTCACCCATTAGAAGCAGCAAAAACCAGAAAAAACCCCAAACAAAACAAACGCAACCCCCCAAAAAATAAAAAATAAAAATAAAAAATAAAATTAAAAAAAAATTAAAAAAATAAAATAATATAGTTGCAAGCAACGATAAGGGCTCCTCGGTCGTAATACAATCTAGCCATTTGTATCTGTCACGTACTTGTGACAATATTAATGGCTACAGTTAGTATGGATCGTGTCACTGTGAGTAATGATAAATACTTCAGTCATTAACTGTAAATTCTTATGGTCGAGGGTTAGATACAAAGCATTGTGTGGTATGGTTTGGATAATGATACTTGTGGCTTCGGAAACAGATGCTGACTTTAATATAACTTCAACGGAATAAGCATACTGGTTTCAGGTTGCAAATTATTTATTTGTTTTAACTGAATAAATGACATCACCGCCAATTATGACAATGTTTTGCTTCTATGTGAAAGTTTTTGAACTGAGAGTACTAAGCGTCCTGTAAGTTTAGATTAGTTTATAGAAATCTTCCATACTTGGATCTGAAGTTAAGAATATCATTTGGTGTCTAGGGGGAAAATAGGAATGTCAAGACAGAACAACCTGTTCAAACCGTCAAAATAACACACCCAAAAACCCGACACTTTGGTAATCTTAGCTAACAAAGGTGCAAGATTCACACTGTGATTCACATAACATTAATCAAAACAAATCTGTCTCTCAAAAAAACCCCAGAACAAATGTTTCCAGTGATCTAACTTCAAGAACATTTAGGAAAATTACCCTGGAATTTGTTGATATACTTAAATTGTTACCGAGCTTGTGATGAATCTTGGAAATTCCACACCACCAGCACAAACATCGAACCAGTCCAGTTGGATAGACGTCATTCACTGTATTCACTTGGGTGGTTCAACTGGTGTAAATTTGACTTAAAATATTCATATCAGTTCCAGCTGAATGTTCATTACATTGGCACTATAACCCAAATGAATTTGGTTGTGATTTCTTGAAATAAGACCAACAGAATTAATAGCAACTGTTTCTGTTCCAATAACAAGATTTTGCAATTTCATCAGCAAAAATATACGTCAGGTACTAGAAATATTAAATCTGGTGAGACATTTTGGTTCAAAGTACCGTCCACAAAGTATTTTATATGCCTAATAAACGCCGAATAAAATGTCAGGACTATTTACTGTTTCTACGGTTACAGGTCAGCAAAACAAGACTGAGGGCGGGTGTCAAACTTAAAGTCTGTAATACGATGGAAACAGTATATGAACACAATGCATAGTCAACAAGGCTTGCGCCGTTTTCCTTTGAAACATGTATATGCCCCATGTTCGTCACCTGTGAATCGTCCATTAACTATATGTACTGCAAATGTACAACACAAATAAATAATGAGATGTAGATATAGATGTAGATGTTATGAACATGTGACTGCATACTTACCTATTAGTTTTCAAGTGCTATCGATGCTGACACGGTGAATAAGCGTGTGCAACTTGCCTGCGTCTGTGAGGAATCGATAACAGACAGCGCGAGTACCTGCTTGAAAGAGCGGCCATAATCGTCCTCGCACTTTCCTTCAGACTGTCGCATGTTTTGCACGGGTACTCTGCCGTGCTGTAAATGTCGATGAAACTTTAAAAAATTCGGCAATGTATCCCTGGGCCGTCGGTGATATAAAGAAGTCCCTATTTTATTAAATCTGTGCAAACTTTGGGGTTCTGAGTGTAAGTATTATTTATCATGACTGGTACGTTGTTAACAGTCTGTTTGCGTGATTTTTGGTGTGGTGTGCCTCGAGTTGTGGGTCAGTTTGCTTAGCACTCTTTTTCTTTCATTTGGGGCAGGTCTCAAATAGGTTTTTTTCCTTTTAGCTCCCATACACACGGATAATGTTGAACGCCGTAGCGCTTGCAGTGACTTTTGACATAGTACCAAGAACAGAAAATGTTCAGCAACCAAAGGCCACTTCAGAGCAAGCGTTTAAAGTGTTGTATGTGCTACGTTTGGTTTGGCACAAAATGGCAAAGAAGCCCGTGGAAGTTTTTAAAGACAAGTTTTGCCCAGAAGTAGCGTCCAATATGGCAGCCATCATATCCACATAGCCACATTTGACGATGCTACTGTGTAGTAAGGTGCATAGACACAAAGTATGCAAAGTTTGAAAGCCGTAGCTCTTGTAGTTTCAGTGCAGCACATTTTGGGAGGTAAGCAGTCAGGATTTTGCTGAAAAACATCACCCAAAACTTCAATCCAACATAGAGGCCAAACGGTGCATTTTAGCGACTCGACCCGTCCAGGCGAAATTGTAGACATTTTGATTGCGCATCTGCTCAAGACATTTGGTAGTCATTGGATCAGTAGTTTTGCAGATATTTGCTGCTGAAATTGAATTTTTTAAATTAATTTTGAATTATCTGCCCTTTGCTATTGGGCATAGAACCTTGAGATTTTTGCAGAAACAACTTCAGCACTGTGGACACCATGGGAATTTTTTTCAAGCGATTCTATCCACTGGTGTTCTTTGTAGGAGTGGTACAAAATTCGTCGGAATAATAAATAATAATAATAATAAAAACATTATGAATTACAATAGGTCTCCTGCTTAGCAGCAAGGAGCCCTAAAAAAACAACAACAAACGAATATGACCGGCAAAACACCTAGCAAATGCAGCATCGTAATCAAAGGGTACGAACAGAAACTCAAACAGAAAGCTAATGATGCTCATATAGTGCTGGCGACTTCATCTGAACAAGTTACTGTTATTGTTTCCATGGAATTGAAGCACTGTCTGTCATTTAATTCAGTGTTCAATAATCACACATGTATCCTCTGTCTTTTTATTTGTGTGTGGAAAGGGTGTTTTAGGCTGGAAAACGTTTGCCTAATCTATTTGATCTTTTATGTCAATAAAATATGTTTAAAACAAATTACTATCGGTATATGGAACTTCTTCGTTCGATAATCAATGCAAGTTAACGTGACACACAGCCAATAAGCACATGCGTTAAAATATCCAATTATCCAGTTATGATAGCATGAGAAATTCGTTACCTTCAAAGTTTCTGAGCACAAAGGTAATCGCGATATGAGTTGCTTGTCATTCTCTGAATATGTTTGAAAGATATTTTATTGACATAAAAGATCCAATGGATTGCTCTAAGATTCTCTGAATGACAACCGTGACCACGAACAACTTCCAGGCAACGTCTCTTGTGTGTCATGAAATCTCAAGGATAAATATCAACAGGCAGACAATTTATTAACATTGACAAAAACGTTTGTATCACATTATGTCCTTTAAAATACAATTTGTAATGTAAAAATATGTGATACTGTCTCTGTTTGAAAGCATGTTAATTGTCACTCAAGGGAAAGGTGTAACTAAATTCGAAATAAAGCATATGACTTAACATAAATGAAAATCAGCCTTGGTTTACGGGTTCCATGTGGTGAATGTAGACATTTATTGCGCAAAGGTATATTGGAAACGACATTCGAAAAAACAGCAC